CTCTTGCCGGTCTATATAAGAACCTCCCATTGAAGCATCAACCATGCCTTTATAATTGTCCGATAAGCTTTCAAAGAAGAATTGGACCAATTGCCATTTAGGCATGTCATGGTGAGGACACTTCCTAAGCAATTCATTGAAGCGTTCCCATGCCTCGTGGAAAGTTTCTCCCTCCCCATGTGTGAATTCCCTAATGGCGGTTCTCATAGCATTGGTCTTCGAAACCGGATAGTACTTTTTCAAAAATTCTTGTTGCATTTCTGCCCAAGAAGTTATAGAAAAAGGCCTAAGGTTGTTAAACCAATACTTCGCCTTATCTTTAAGGGTGAATGAAAAAAGTTTCAGCCTTAAAACTTCTTCCGGCATGTCCGTGTATCGAACGATAACAAACTTCAAAAAACTCATCCAAATGCTTGTAAGGTTCTTCACTAGGAAGTCCATGAAAGTTAGGTAGCATTTGGATAGTTTGTGCTTTAATCTCATAATGGTGTGCTCTAAATGGTGGCAATTGAATGCATGTGGGTGCATTATACTCATTAGGGACATAGTGATCTCTCAATGCGAGTGGTGGATTAGCAACTTGAGGTGCAACATGGACACCTTGGTTATATTGAGCTTGATTAATGATGGGGGGTTGTGGTGCATACATTGGCCTTGGAATTCCCATTGGAATTTGGCCTTGTTGTTGAGGAGGTTGATGAATGTATGGCCTAGGCATGCCTAATGGAACTTGCATATTATCATTTTGCACATTAGGGTGAAGGATGCCTTGTTGGTCTATGTGACCAAGGTCTTCAACATGATCATCATTGAGAGCATCCATTGGTAGATTGGTTCTATGTGAACTTCCTCTTCCCCTTGGATTCCTAATAGTGGATTCTAAATGCAAATCAAGAGGGACAAGAGTAGGTCTCAATGAATGACGACCATGCATGCACAATGAAACACGAATAAGCAACTTTTTCAACAATGCAATTAAACTTCACAGCCACAATTTTCAAATGCAATGTATGTCAAATAAATGCCTCCACGTGGGCCCCCGATTTAACTAAGGAGATTGAGTAAGAAGGTCTCACAATAGTCCTTTAGCACTTCAACTCCAAAATTAAAAGCTTAGCTTAGCAATTAACAATTTTTCATTTAAGCATTTTTCCTTTGCTTTGCTTTGCTCCTTAGCTTGGAATTACTTTGCTAGCTCCTTGCTCAATGCACCTTGTTAATGAAGAACAAACTTAATAAGTAATCAAAAACAGAAAATAAAAAGAAAGTAAAGACATGATCAAAAGAGTACTAATCCTAATTGAATTTCATAATTCGACGATGCCAATTTAAAATCCCCGGCAAAGGCGCCAAAAACTGACCGGTCCTCTTTTACAAGGGTCGCGATACCAAGTCAAGCTTGAAAGTTGTGTGAGAATTTAGGAGGTGGCCAAGTTTTACATTTATAGAAAGCCACTACTACCTTTCTCTATATAAAATATAGATAGGGCGAGTAGGGATCGTCCCAAGGGATTTGATGGTGTATCGAATTGTGAAACTATGGTAATTAGGGTTAGTAGGTCGAGTGATCACACAATTGGTTGTTTGGTTGATTAAGCTAAATTGAATTCAACTAAATAAAATAATATGAGGTAAACAAGAGAGAGAGAGGTCTTGGGGTGTAGAGATCACCACCAAGCAATACTTTTCTATACTACTAACAAGTGATCAATTGAGGGTAATGGATGTGTTGCAATATGATAAGGGTGTGTGTGCATTAGGTTGATTCAATTGGCAAGGATGACAAATCAAGCAAGTATTGTCTAAACATCATGTGAAGAGCACAATATATCTAAACAATAGAGCATATATTGTCTAGACAATATGGGGATAGCACAATAGATCAAAACAAGTCATTAATCCTTCATTAAGCTCACAATCCACATGCAACACAATATTAGAAGAATATGCCATTTGGACTCACAAGCATGGAACATCAAATATCAAGAGTAGATTGTCCTCCCATCTAACATTATACTACCACTACACTAAATCTACACTACTAGCATGAAAATAAAGCTATCTAGACTAGGGGAGAGGCACAAACCATCAAGAATAGGCATAAACCATCAAATGAACCAAAATAGCATTCATTAAGCATATCATCTTGATAATCTCTAGATCTATAGCATCAATACACATAGACATGCATCAAAAACACTAAATCTAGAGATAAACACATGAATATCCTACTTTAGCATACATAGACATATGGGTAGAATAAAATAGTCAATTGGAAGCATTAAACCATACAAACCATGAAATAATCAAGATTTATATATACATGAATATCAAGATGTATCATACAACACTAATCCCTCAATAATACACAAGATTAGAGTATAGAAAGCATGCTTGGGGCTAACTCTAGCCCCAAGAAGATGTCTAGCCACTCATGGTAGTGATGATCCAACCCTCAAGGGCTAACTCCATGGTTGCTCCTTGTAGATGAAGATCTCCTCCAATGGTTGCTCTAGCTTCCTCCCTTCTTCCTCTCCAAGAATAGCCTCCAAGATGATTTTCAATGTGTGACAAGAGACTCTAGAACCTTTCAAAAAGTGTATCATATTCCTTATATAGGTAGGTCAAATACACCCTATGATGAGCTGTGGTCGTGCAAGGCATATTCTCCAATGATTGGGTGAAGGACGGAATAAATGAGCTGGACTTTAACTTTTTCTCGCTGGTGGAAGTTCGATCGATCGAACCTTAACTTGGATCGATCGAAGATGGGTTCGATCGATTGAACTGCATCTTGGATCGATCGAAGTGGTCTGACTCCTCCGGATAAGGACAAGGATGAGATATTTCGAAGATATTTATGGGGAAAAGGACAAAAGTGGTTGGCAGGCGTATAGCTGTGGATAAGATCAATCATTTGAATAGGACAAAATAGGGTTCGATCGATCGAAGGTGATGTTGGATCGATCGAACTTTGAATTTCAGCAAAGGCCAAGGTTGGATCTATCGAGAAGTACTGTGATCGATCATAGATGTTCGATCGATCGAACTCTAAGTTGGATCGATCGAACTTTTCAGCTGCACAACTTAATTCCTTTTTGCTCCTTTCTTTCTCCACTTTGCTCCCTCCTTTGGTTTATCTCAGGATTGCTTCAATTAAGCTCTTATTTAACTGAGTTAGCTCAATTTTGGGATTAGTGCCTGAAAATATAAATAACACGTAATAAGTCTAAAACGGCAAAGTAAGATAGATAAAGGTACTAGAATGCTTAAGCTTAACAGGTTTAAATGCGCACTTTTCGGTGCTCATCAAGTGAAAATTAAAATCAAAATATTCATGTAGGTGAGAAAAGACCTAACTTCAGGGGGTCTGAGTATAATTTACCCTTTAAAATCTTTATATTATTTATTTAATTATACCTTTAAAATCTTTATATTATTTATTTAATGATACCATTATATGTTTTAGAATTGTGGAAGCCCCTATTTTTTAAAAAATATAATAGTAAAAATATTTTATGGTGTCTTGAAAATGTTCCAAATGTGTCATTGTTGTATCCATGATTTGTTGTAGTTGAGTTCATTGTTTCCTTCAAAATTTAATCATGTGCATTGCAAGTGACATTTTTAGGATATAAAATTTCAAAAATATTCTTATTTCATTCAATAATGCCCTTATATATACATACATTTGTCACATTTAATAAATTTTTGTACCTATTTTTTATTCCGTTATGGAGAGATACTTTACTCTTTTCAGTATTCAAGTCATTATTTGCACCAAAATTGAATATTAAGGAGCTTTTAGAACGTATATGGGTTATATACTCATAGGGTTTTTTTGCCCGTAACTCTATATTATTTATAAAAAGAGACATTTTAGCCATTTCACATTTAATTAGTTTTTTAATCTATTTTTTTATTCAGTTATAGAGGGACACTTTAGTCTTTATAGCATTCAAGTATTCAAGTTCTTATTTGCTCCAAAATTGAATGTTAGGGACTTTTTAAAATTTATAGGGGGCTATACACTCTAAATGCACACCGTAAGAATGTTTTTCGCTTGTGACCATAAATATTATATTGCTTAGGTGACATATATAATAATAATAATAATAATAATACACATGTTTTTTTTATTTTTTATTCTCTTTTAATTTTTTTTAAAGTCTTGGCAGATTATGAAAAGGCAGAATTCAAATAAGGACGCAACTATTAGGAAAGCATGACACTCCACTAATTAAGCTATTGTTTTGTTTTTTTTTTCTTTTATTCTTAAAACATGTGTATCGGTACCACAGTATGCACCATTTAAATCATGAGTACAATTCGAAAGTGAGACTTTAAGGACTTACGAAATCCTTGCCAATGCCTCCATGCCCCTTGAGCAAGCTACTGGGTTGTACTTGTCATTCATGGAGAGGATGTCATAATTTTTGAAAATATTTTTTTTTTCAGGTAAATTATTTTTTTTATTTTTAATTTGTCGGTGTTTGGTAAAAATATACGTCGAAATTGAGGTTGAACCCATTGAGCGAGACATATAAAATAACTTATCAAAAATTAATAAATAAATTATTTTTGTTAAATTTTAATATTTTTTTCTTTTATTTATGACAATCAAATACCAAAAAATAAAAAATTATGTCCAAACAAAAGGGGCTTTATTATTTGTTACAGTCTCGCGTACCGAATTCCTGCTAGTGTTTATGAGCAATGACATTTTTTTGTTTTTTTGGGTTAAAAGGCAAGCTTTATTAGTAAGGACTCTCTTTCAAGGATAGTGCATATTTAGGGAAGTGTGTAACACTCCTAACTCGACTCAGCAAAACCGATTCAAGATGAGTCAGTGCTAATCAGAACTCGGTCAAATTGTAGACACAAAAGAAACACAGAGTTCACGATCCGCGTGAAAACCAAATCGTCCAATAAGACTCTCTCTTCGCCACTAACTAGCCAATCAGAGCAAAGCACACGGATTTAGTTTTTTCCTAAAATAGACGTTGAATCCTTTTCAAGTCCACCTTCCCGACGCTCTATATATACATCGAGGTCGATCTTAACAATTTTCGTACGTCTCATCAGATAATCATTCTTCTGAGAACCAAAAGCCCTAAGCTCTCTTCGCGATTTCGTCTCTCTTTTTGTTCTCTCCAGGTAATCTTTAACCCTAACCCTAATATTATTCCTCTCTTCTTTTGATTTGTTCTTTCGGCGGTTTGTATTTTGTATCTGATTGCGATCTCTGATTTTCAAATCTAGATTTTCTCACCTGTTTCTGCGAATTCGAGGCTAAATGGCTCGTACGAAGCAAACCGCTCGCAAATCAACCGGTGGAAAGGCTCCCCGGAAGCAGCTCGCAACAAAGGTACGCTTTTCTTTTCTAGGGTTTTTGATTTCTAAATCGATCTCTTCTTGCTTTTTGGTTTTCTCGTTCGGCAAACAGAATCTTAGGGTTTTGGTAATTTATTGCAAGGGTGTAATTTTTTTCTCTCTCTTCTTTTAAAGGCGGCGAGAAAGTCAGCCCCAACCACCGGTGGAGTCAAGAAGCCCCATCGTTACCGTCCTGGAACTGTTGCGCTTCGGTACTATAGATTTCTCAATAATCCTACTACTCCACACATTGCTTATCAATTGCACATATGATGGTCTTATTCTGTGTGTGTGGTTTTTTGAACAGTGAAATCCGAAAATACCAGAAGAGCACAGAACTTCTCATCCGCAAGCTGCCTTTCCAACGACTTGTCCGTGAAATCGCCCAAGATTTCAAGGTTCATAGAATGAATATATCAATCTCATTAACTGGTTTTTTTTTTTAGTTCTAAATCTGACATGTGGGTCTTGATTTGTTTTGAACAAACAGACTGATTTGAGGTTCCAGAGTCATGCGGTTCTTGCGCTTCAGGAGGCAGCCGAGGCCTATCTTGTGGGTCTCTTTGAGGACACTAACTTGTGTGCCATTCATGCCAAGAGGGTCACCATCATGCCCAAGGATATTCAACTGGCTAGGCGAATTCGTGGCGAACGCGCTTAAACAATGATGACCACATTGTTTCTTTACTGGAAAAGATGAATCTCTTTTTTAATAAAGACTATTTCAGCCCTTCTTTTAGCTTTTGTATGTAAGCTTGGATATTAATTCTTACAGTCATTAGGATTTGGGAGTAGTAGTTGCATTACAAGACCTTATTCTGGTTCTGTAAAATTTTTAGTTCAATATAGTATTAAAATCTCTTTGGTGCTTGCAATAGTTTAGTGGTTGGTTTGTGTCATGGGATGAAGTTGTTTCAAAGTTTTTATGGTGATGGAAATTGTGGGTTTGACACTGATAGTAATTGTTTGTTGGTCGAGAGTTTTATCCAACCAATTTATATCACTTTGAAAGGTGAATTCATTGGTGTTTAGAAAAAAAAAATGCTGTCTTGTGATTTGAATTTTAGGGTTTGAATGTAAAGAGGAAAGCAATTGTCTCGAGGCTAAGTGATGTCTGTTATTCAGGGCATGTGGATTTTTGGTTGAGTGCAGGGATATTTAGGTTTAGTGAATTGTTTGATCAAACAATTTAGATTGGTCAGGCTGTTTGCACTACACAATTGGCACTGAGATCATTCCCTTAGGTTGAAGGAGCAAACAAGGTTTAACCTCCTTAAGTTGGTTTTTGACTGGGATAAGCTCTTGTTCCTTAGGTTGATTGTTGAATACCAAATGTAACTTTCTTGGTCAAAAGCTTACCCTAGTTGATCTTCAACATTCTAACCACCACCTTGGTCTAAAGCCAACCGAAATTGATCTTTCAATAGTTTATTGGTGTTCTCATTAGACTCTAGAAACAAAGCAAGAAGAGGTACAATATATATACAGGTACTATATATATGAGTCATGTTTATGAATCATTTTATACATATTTTAATTTAATATAATTTAACAAATTTAATATATTTTTTTTTGAGATGAGTAATGATTTAAGGATCAAATTCAATTGATGTGGTGGATCCTAAGTGATGTGGTGGATCCTATGATCATGACGTGTTGATTAAAATGCAGAGCTCATGGGCTCTCTAATGTGAGCTGAAGAGCAAAACAATGTGTAATATCTCACATCAGACATTCCTAGCCCAAAATTTATCAAATTCGGCAGTAAACAAATTGGCTTGAGCCTGAAGTGGCAAATGCTGGTGTTCAAGCTTGTGCATGGCATCTTGCAACAATTTCTTTTGGGTCATTCATATGTTATCAGGAACTTGTTCAAATTTAAAAGCAGGGCTAGTTTGGTTGACAACTGGTTTGGGCCAAAGCTCATGTTCTCATAGTCCACTTACGTCTTTTGTAACTGGGGTTTTTTCATTGTTGGCACAGTTGTGGGTGCAGATGTGCCCAAGTGGTGAACCCATATTAGTCAGCACAAGGCACTAATCTAAGCAAACCACGAGTCCTACCTCAATCCCAAAGGAGATCCAGCAGTAGCAACTGCTGAATTTATTGTGTCATGGCAAAACACTGGCACAATGCTTCCTCCGCAGCAGTGTTTGTGACTTCTATGCTGCCTAGCGGTCAGTAGAGGCACGTGTGTGTGAGTACTAACTAGGGGAAAAAAAAAAACTTCTATGCTGCCACTTGTAACAAGTTAAACGTTTGTCATTCGATTTAAAAATATAAATTGTTAGGTGATACTGCTTATTTACGTGCTCTTATTACAAGTCCAAGGCCTTTCCATCCGAGTCGGAGGTGCCACCAGAGGTTCTAATATGACAACCCCATTCAAAGAGCTGAATCCAAACTCTTCTCAACACGAATGCCTCAGCTAGAGAAGGGTTCGATCCTCGTACGGTTGGATACAAAGACCCTAAGCTTTCAAGATTGTCCACGTGGTCCAAACGCCACCACACCTTCACCAACTAAAGCTCCATCAACACAAAGCCACCATCAATCCGGACAAAAATCGTCTCCAGTGGAACAGTGAGCCTGTTCTAGCCGGTTGGTTTGTGTGGCCTACAATTGGCCACGTCAATTAAAAAACTACTATTGGTTGTAGTAACAAATGTCTAACTGCAACGGGCCCCACATATATACACGTTTGAATTATATTAACGAAATATTTCAACAGTTATCTAAACAAATAAATTTACCAAAGGGTCCTTATGTTTATCTAGGGAAAAGTCAAATCTGCCCTAGCCATTTAAACTTCTAGAGAGAGAGAGAGAGAGTTTTAGAGAGAGAAAGAGAGGAAATGTTGGGGAGGGTTAGATCGTCATTTAGTTTTCTGGAATGCTTTGAGTTGAAGAGGACACCTTCCAAGATCATCAAAGACGATTCTCTCTCCATTTACGGTATTATTGCTCTTCCTCTATTTCCACATCTAATTCCTGTTTTGATACCCAATTAATCTCTTCATATAATAATTATTTTTTTTAATTTTTATAGATCTCCATAATTTAAATCAGATTGTGTGAAATGGATTTTTTTTCCCTGTTTAATTTTCAAATAGAACCCATTTTAGTGGCGAAAATCAATATCAATATAATATGAATTATGAGTCATTTTATTTTATTTATTTATTTTGTAATTATCTAGTTTTAGTAGTAGAATTTCTAGCTAAGACACTTTGATTATTCTTTAATTCAGCTGCTGCTATGCGTTTAATTTATTCACTTGGTTCCTAAATTTATGTGGGTTGGCGGTTGTGGATGAAATTGAATATCTTGTTGTTTGGAATCGAAGAAAAAGCTAATACTCCACTCTACTTTACCTAATACAACCCTCTTGGTTGAGAGGAAATACACATTTAATTTTCTTGGTGGAACCCAAGAATACGACTTCAATATAGTTTTTTTTTTCTTCATTTCACCAACTTTCTTAGCTGCCAAACATAAACTTTATGCCAATTACTTGAAGAAGACAACATATATTAAGAAAGATGAAGACTTTGTCATGGTTTTCCTTATACAATTATTTAGTATAGGGTGGGTAAATATTTTTTTTTTTTTGGGAAAAAAACTGAAAGTTTATTAATGGACGAAGATTAGATTTTTACAAGAATTTTGGGCGGGGAATGCTTCAAGCATGAATTTTGGGCGGTGGTTGAAATTGAGATGTTCAAATGCGGCAGCAATTACTGCCATTCGAGAATTCCGAAGAATAAGTTATGAAGTGATCATTTAATCATCTTTCTTCTCAGTGAGATTGCTCAAAAATCGATTCTCCTAGCATGGGTTTGTTTAAAGAAATGGAATTCCGTATTTGTTGTTGTTTTCTAAGTACTCGTTTGTCAGTCTGATATTTCAGTTCACCACCTATTTGATACTTTGCCTCAGTATACATAATCCCCCTCTATTTCCATAACTAATGATGACTATTATTAATATATCATCATATAATTCAAATAATATCATTTAATTTGAGCACATATTGCACTGCACTTGGTGTTATTTATGTTTGTGGACAGACTACATGATGTGTAAAGATATAGTAATAATTTAAAGAGGAGAACTAAATAAAATCTTGAAAATTCGCAGCGTGATCTAAGCTCACTCCCTGAGAACTTGATGAATACAGATATAAGCAGTACTTCTGCAAGCATTCCACCCTATGAGGAGGCACTTAATATAGACTTTGATTGTTCTTTCACTTGCGTTTCAAGGAGTGATATTGATAACAAGTATATGAGCACCTTAAAAGAGCCTCAAAAGAGGAACTTGTCAATTCTTTACTTGTTCTCCAGATATAAGAGTTCTCGAAAAGCTCTAAGCTCACCTGATGAGGCAATGGCGACAGAGAATGACTATTCTTCTTCTAGCGTTTCACCAGAGTCCGGGAACACCAGCTAATATATGAACAACATTTGGCAACGGAAAGAACGTGTCACTTTTTTCTTGTATTTTAAATTTGTAAGGTATAAATGTGGATGTATAACTAATGAGAATGCAAATTTATTCAGCAGTTCCTGTTTCATTGATAAAACCAATTCTTAATTCCCCTTTCAAAATCAGTAATACCCCTAATTTTAAAAGGATAGTCTCGGTATTTTATTAATTGTTAATTTTAAAAGGATAGTCTTGATATTTTATTAATTATTTTAATTGAGTTTTTGATTCTTTCATTGATTTCTTGGCTATTTGTTAATTATTTATATGAATTAATTGACTATGTGTTTATTTGAAATACTCATTTAATGATGTGTATTTGTTTACTAAATGTTAGGTGTTTTATTTAAAAATAATGTTTAGGAATTAAATGTTTTAAATGGTTGTGTTATTTTATTGTATTTTATTTTTATTTTAAGGGTTATGGATAGTAGTCATGGGCCAACCAATTGAGTTCCATGGACTACTTGGATAAGGGTTTAATGGGTACGGATAATTACCCATGGATAGTATATATGTATATATATATAATTAAATTATATATATATATATATATATATATATATATATATATATATATATATATAAGGAAAGTCCTTTGGAGATAATCTAATGTATTTATTTTATTTAGCTAAAAATAATTTACATAGATTATACGTAACTTATATTTTTAGTTACATTTTTAGTGTTTTAATTTTACTTTTCTTTGTTAATTGAATGTGGATTGGAAAAAGGAATAGGGTTAATATGTAGCCTATAAATATACAACTATAGGGTTGGAAAAAGGGGTTAGAAATATATCACGTATATTTTAGAGAGAGAGAAATAAGGAGGAAGAAGGATGATGAAGAAGAAGAAGGAGGTTAGGGTTTTTATCAAATCCCTAAAGGTAAGTTCTTGTTCTACACTTCTCCTTTGATCTGTGGAATTTATATCTCTAGTATAATCTTAGGATTATTTAAAGAACCATTAAAATTGAAATTTATAATTTAATTAATCTACAACGTAGGTTTTTTTATTATATTTTTCATGGTTGTTCTTGTGTATAAATTGATAAATTCATGATTTGATTTGATTACTTTATGATTTGTTACATGTTTTGCATAATGTATTTTCATATCTGTATATTGATGAAATCTAGAAATATGCCTTAGAATCTTTAAACAATAAATATTTGGGTTCACAGTAGAGTTCTGGGCTGAATCGCGTAAACAGGGTTGAGTCGTCGATACAGTGCTCGAGCCTTGGGGACCAAGCTCGAGTCATGGATGAAAAGCTCGAGCCTGTAAGGAAAAGCTCGAGCAATTGGATGTAAAACTCGAGTCTGAGAAGGAAAGCTCAAGCAATTAAAGGAAAGGCTTGAGTCTGAAGTAGGATGCTCGAGCCTG